TTATTATTATTATCATTATAATTATTATTACTACTTATTTTTAAATTAGCACCAAAAAATACATAAAATTTAGCTATCATTTCCCTTGTGTTTATTCATCGCAGGCCTGTGCAAACGTTCTCCATTTTCTCACTGCAGTAATTTGAATCCTTCGTGTAGAATATTAGGGATAATAGTCAAAATCAGTAGCTGATTTTGACTATTAGGGCAAATAGTATTATTACACCGCAACGACTATTTTCATACCTTGTATTGCCAAAACGCTCCTTGCTACCGTAATTCATCATTCAATCATTCAATTTAATAAGTACTACATGAATTAGTACATATATACCATGGCTAAAGAAAACTAGCGTAGATGGCACTTCTCCCCATAATAGTTTTTAACAGTTTTTGACGTTAAATAAATAAATACACATTTATTTACATCATTATGATTTACGAAATTAATGTTCTGAATTTTTTTTCGACACTTTTTTCCTATAAAATGAAAACCAACCCGTGTGGGGTTGCTGGTCCCTCAACGGGCGCCTCCGCAAGTGGCGAAGAGGGGGATGCCCGGCCAGACGTGCACCAGGGAAATTAAATACCCGGGGTGGTCCAAAACCATCCAAGAGGAAGAAGAGGACGGAAAGAGATGCTTGAAAGCTCAAAAGGCAGATGAGGCGGATGACTTTAATACCTCTCTTCTCTCAAGAATCTGCTACCTTGCAGAAGATGATGGCTCGTCTATGATTAGAAGAAGGTAACCTCGAGAAAAAAAATCCCTGGTCCTCTAAGTTTGGGATTGAGTTGTTGGAACTGCACCCCACCGCTCGAAAAAAAAAAAAGAAAATTAAAAATGCACGTGTGCCAAGCAATTAGCGTCGGAACCACGCTAGTTTTCGACGACGACTTGGCCTTCGAAATAGGTATATGAGTTTCGGAACTTGGAATGGGCAAGACATAGCCACAGAGGAATTCGAAGTGTTTAAAGGATTAGACAGATTAAATTTAGATGTTGCTGCCCTATCGGAAACTAAAATGAAAGGGAAAGGTTTGGAAGAGATTCAAAATTACGTGCAGCGACCCAATTAATACAGCGGATTAAAGAAAGATAACAGAGCCAAGAAAGATAACAGAGCCAAGAAAGTAGTGTCCATTGCCATTCGCAAATATTTAATACACCACGTAAAAATGGGATGGTATTTATGAAAGTCTACTACGAGTAGATCTACGTCTTACGGGGTACGATATGGACGTAATTGCCACATGTGTGCGCACGAACAGTACAAAAGATACCGACTTTTTTACCAACTTGAACTCTCTGGGCCAAATTGGAAACAAAAAGGAAATACATTTAATGGGCTACTTTAATGGAAAAGTATTAAGACAATAGGGAAGAAATGTGTTTTTTTGCAAGATACGTGTTTTTTAGCACAAAAATTATCCATAAATACACCTGGTCTCAGCCATCAAGGAAATTATACTCTAAAATTGATTACATTGTTGGTAAACAGAATAATAAGAGCAGAGTCGAAAAATGTGGGGTATGCAGAGTGCGGATCTGACCACTTCCTTCTGCGAGCCAACTGTCTTTTCCCCTTCGAAAACGGAAAAGTCAGACATCAAATAAGAGAGGGAGACTCTAGAAGAAACGACACAAATATTAAGTATACAGTGAATTTACTAAAAGAACCATCAAATTTGTTATTGTATAAGTTCAGGCTAAGTGGGAAGTTGCAAAAGTGGACGAGTCCTCTCTGGAAGCAATGTACAGAGATATAACAAAATACATGCAAAAAGCGGCATACGAACGTTTGGGTGTAATTGAATGGAAGCAGCAGAGGACTGGGACCTATTGGTGAAGTGACAAATTTGATGAAAGGACACGGGAGAAGAAAATAGTGGCAGACGACTCGTGAACTACAAGGCAGAAAACCTTACACACGAATATGTAGAGAAGTCAAAAAGGAAATTATAAAAACTAAAAATGACCTATGGGACCTAAAGTGTCACGACATTAGTAACACTGTTAGAAGCTCAAAATCACGGGAGGCATGGAAAGGGTTGAAACAGTTGAGAACAAATGAAATGGCCAATTGCAGCTTACAAGCCTAGACAGATAAGTAAAGTATTATAAAGAACTGCAGGAATACCGTGTAGAATACCACACATTATATCAGTTGAAGGATACATCTGAAAATCATATAGAAGATAGATCACCAATAGAAGTTGAGAAAGTGGTCATAAGCTTGAAAAGTGGTAAAGTTCCTGGACCTGGTGGGATATATATGGACCTAATAAAATCAGCTCCATTGGTATTGTTCGAACAGCTTTCGGAATTATTTAATACCTGAAGTCTTTAAAGTGGGTTACATCTCCAATATATTTAAAAAAGGATATAAAGAAGAAATCTTCAATTACCGTGGTCTAATCGTCCTGAGTTCCCTTGATAAAATATACAAGAAAATTATTGAAAACTGTTTGGAAAATTAAATAAATGAAATGGAAGAACAGTGTCCCTCTTTCAAAGTTGTGGATGGCCATATAAAATCAATATATTAACAGCATATATATTAAGGCCATTAGAGAGTTATATTCGGACAATATCGCTTATGTCAAGTCAGGAAATTGCATATCAAAAGAGAAAAGATAAAAAGGGCCAAGACATGAGTGTTGCATTGCACCAACTCGGTTCAAAATCTGTCTAAGAGAAGTTCTAAACAACTGGAAGAAAAATTGTGAAAGGATGGGAATAAAATTAAATGACAATTTGTTATATTCACTAAATTTTGAAGATGACCAAGAGATATTTGCTGAGGATGAAAACGATGCACATTCTATGTTAAGGAAATTAAGTGACGAATATGGAATATTGAGATTGAAAATTAATTTCAAAAAGACCGAGTACATTGTGGTAGAAGGGACAGTAAAAGATTTACTAATCGAAGATGGTTCTGTTGATAAGTGTTATCAGATGTATAAGTATTTAGAAAGTTTTAACAGACCAAGGGGGCAGTGAAGAGGAAACTAATCATTGTATTCGGCAATTACATTCAATTATGTGAAATAAAAATATTGCTAATAAGGGGGAAATTTGAAATTTTAAAGAAATTGTGGAAAACATATACGGTACTGAGTTGTGGGAGATCACAAAAAACAACGAGAAAATGTTACAGTCCATGGAAATGAAGTTTTGGAGACGCAGTTGTAGTGTAACGTTAATGAAAGAATCATAAATGAAAATGTGAAGCACCAAATGGGTGTATTTCGGATATAGTGGATATTATAGAAGGGAGAAGGTTAAATTGGTACAGGCATCTTAGACGAATATCGGAGGAAATATGACCCTTAAATATTTGGAGGTGACAGGTGCCACTGCACAGAATGAGAGGTAGACCAAGACTTACATGGCATGATGGTGTGCAACAGACAAGGAATGATGCTCTCATCAAAGAAGATGATTGGCAAGATAGAAGAATATCGAAACTTGGGTGCAAGAGAGTAGTATTCGTGGTTCGTAGTTCTACTCGCAGGAGAAGAAGAAGTAAAAAGATAGAACAACGTCGGAAAATATTGATTTATTTGTTACTTACCTAACACCGTCGTAAATTGTCTACCAAATCCGCTTCGTACAATTCCAATATGAAACCCATATCGTAGGTTGTTGGAATCAAGCCAGCCCAGAAATAAATCCTTTTCAGCCTGAAACAAATACAAAAAAATTGTTCACTTATTTAAAAACTTGTTGGGGCTCTTTTAGAAAATTCTTAGGGTGTTTATATTCATTTATTTTATTTATTGCTCATAGTTAGTCAAATTTCAAGGGAAACTCGAGCAAAATGATAGATTTTGTGAGTTCAAACTATATATCATACATGCAAAATTTAGTTCACAACGCTAACGACTTAGTCCGTTATTAATAACACTTATTTATTATGTCATACAATAAGTTCGACGATTTTACATTCTGCATATATATATATATATATATAATATAAATATATATATATATATATATATATATATATATATATATATGTGTGTGTGTGTGTGTGTGTGTGTTTTCATTATCAGTCTGTAAATCATTTGATGGTAGTTCTATTCTCTAAGTAATTTTGCAACGTTTTTATCCATGTTCTAGTTTTTAAATTGTAATCCCTGTGCTTGGTACTCTGCAAACATGTCTCCACGGTGTTGTGTGACCTCTCATTTATTTTTGTAATCACAATCTGTATAAATGAATAAACGACCAGCGTAGATGCCTCGGTGTATCAATTGATGTTACTACAGTACCTCTGACCGGGAGACCGTAAGTGGCAGGATTTTCGACACTAGCTAGATAGCTAGGTCCGATTCAGCCACTGTCTATACGAGAATTCTAGCGACCGACTGTTCTGATCGGTAGATTTCCGTGATTTCTCCGATCAACACCAGGTATAAGGCCGGAGCAGTACCCTAACAAAAGGGATACGCACTCTGCGCGACCTTTCCTTCCCCTTCCATCCTTACCTCTTACTTTCACACACACACTTTCATGCACTACTCTATAAAATGTCGGGATATCAGTCGGGGCGTTCGAGCTTGTCCTGATTGCGTGGTTGCTTTCTGGGGGAAGATGCCAGGTAAGAGGAAAACCCCGCGAACCGACGCGAAGCTCGGCTCCGGATCTCACCATCTAGCGGGGAAAGATAGCCAAAGACCGCCTCCTTCTGCGATAAGACATGCACTACGCTTACGGTCCTAATGGCCTTAGCAGTCGATGAGCGCCCAAACACTAATCAATCAAAATAAATAATGCGTTGTGCTGCCAGAGCCCCGGAATATAAGATGTCAAATCAGTCAAAGGTGTGCAAGATGTGCAGATGGTGCAACAAGATTGATGCATAAGATGTTGGTAACTAAGAGGGAAACGGTCAGAAACTTGTTTTTCGACACGGAATGTGGCAAAATTACAGAGAATCTCCTGTCCGTCAGAAACTTCCAGAAACTTTTTTTTCGACACGGAATTTGGCAAAATTATTGATAATCTCTTGTTCCTCAGAAACATTCAGAAACTTTTTCGACAAGGAATTTGGCAAAATTACAGATATTCTCTTGTCCCTCAGGAAGAAGTACTAATTGTTATGTCATCGAATTAAACGGAGAAAGACATTGTTGTTCGAACTGCAGGGGATAATGATGATGAATCAGAAAATAACAATATTAATATTAACAAGCTTGTCCAGTTCTAGCAAAGTCCCAGAATACCTGAAAAGGCACTGTGGGTTTTGCACTTATATCCACTGGCAGATTTATAACGCTGTCAATGTTCCAATCACATGCTCCTCTTTTTGCAACGCTCACCAAAACCGACGTCTGTCGGACTGTGTACAATGCTATAGGACCAACAAATTTAAACTGATCGTTCTAGAGCAATATACAAAATTGTATATCGTTTTTCGTTATTATTTTCTGTTCTCCTGAGTACTGCACGCATCGTTAGGAAATTTTATTGATATAATTGACCTCCCGAATTTGCAAGCGAAGCAGGCACCTTGGTTCTACAAAGATCCCTGTGTCTGCTATAGGCACCTCGCAAAGAGAGAGACTCGAAGAAATAATAATAATAATAATAATAATAATAATAATAATAATAATAATAATAATAATAACGACTCACAGTTACGGAGTACATTGAATACCTCTGAATTTGGTACTGCCAAGTAACCTCCATCAACACTGCATGTTTCATTCGCTGCGGGCCAAGACGTTCTGATCCGGTACACCTTGTAAATCCCTAGGCCCGGCTCTTCTCTATATCCACTTGGCAGAGCTCTGGTAGGTGGGGCAGTGGGCAGCGTTGGGCACGGCGGGCAGGGCGGAGGCTGCGGGCACGCGGGGCACGATGGGCAAGGAATTTCTGGGCACGAAACCTCGGGACAGGACACGTTTACTAGCGGCGGTGGGCATGGGGGTATGGGTGGAATCGGCGGGCACCTGGGCACGGGGCACGGCGGGGGCACTGGCAACGTGGGACACGTGGGTACCGGGCAGCGGGGGACGGGGCAGGGTTCTGGTTCGGGACAGAGAGGGCATTGGGTGGGGCACCTCTGCGACAAAGCAGTTCCCTTCTCCGCCACAAGGAGCACCGCCAACCCCAACAGCGCGCTCCTGAAAAGAAAGTAAAACGTCAGGAGAACGTAAGGGCAATTGTGGGCGTAGCCACCACTAAATTAGTAGGTGACGCAATAGATACATTTCTTGATTTCCGATCCTGAATTTAAAGATGATGAGGATATCTAACAAATGTCCTTGCAATAAGAAAAGATATATGAATGGAATGACACTGAAGATCTTCAAGAAAAGTTTCCAGTCTAGTGAGTAAGAAAGTGTAGAAGAATAAGAATAAGAAGGATAATGACAAGAAAACGAAGAGCAAGAAGAATAAAAAAGTATGATCCATGAAGGTAAAGAGAAAACGTATCGAGAAGAATAAAACAGACAAAATTTAAGCGTATAGAGATGATTTCTGGAGGAATTGCTGTATGTGACCAATATATATAGTATGGAATATGAGTTTCTCATCATTAATTTATTTTTGCAAACAAAGGACCAGTGTAATGAACACTGAAATGAGCGAAATAAAATGCCAGTCAGGGTTACTAACTCCCGACTACTGTCAAATTTACGTTACAACATGAATGACCTTTTCTTGGAGGTCGGCTGAGTACTCGAACAATGCCGCTTCATTGTGTTCTTCCCCCAGACTTATTACCCATGTGGAGCGAAACCGTTTGAAATGATCAATTTTGAAACTTTTGAAACGCACAAAAAAGTGAAGGAAGAATATCTGGACATAGTAAAGTGTTTTGGGGTCATATTAGTACGCCAAAACGTGGGGGAAAATATCATCAATAATTTTGAATGATTTATTAATGTCACAAGACCTGTAACTCGAACTAGTATTGCGTGCCCGTAATTCTCCATAAGTTTCTATTCCATGAAAGGGTTATAATAAAAAGTTGCATTCCCCTTATTGGACAGCTCCCTGCAGAAGCCCAAAAACGAAGATAAGAACAGCAGAATGGCCAGGGAATTATTTACAAGGAAAACATC